AGAACTCTTGAAGACATTGGCATAGGAAAAGACTTCATGAACAAAACCTCAGCAGCACGGGAACTAGCAGAAAGAATCAACATCTGAGATCTCATCTTATTAAAAAGCTTCTGCACTGCAAAAGAAACCACCAACAGAGCTAACAACCTACAATATGGGAAAAAAATTTTAGCAGCTGTACCTATTCCCCTTTTTCTTAATAGAAATAGACTATTTTCATATAACTTTTTGCTCAGATTTACCCTGGCTGCTATCATATGTTTTCTAATTTGCAATCAAGTTTTTATTACTTTTTCAGAAGTTCTAGTTTCCACTGCCATCTTTCCCTTCTTTCCAACCTATAGATTGGAGCTAATGGTATTCTTTAAACTCATATGAAGTTCCTTTAAATGTAGGTTACTAAGCAAGCTGAAAGCAACTGCTTCTCCCCACCCTCAAGCCTTAGAAATTGCTAGGCCTAGCTGTCCAGACAAGAATACTTTGAGGATTAAATGTGCTACACAGTTAGTACATGGTAGAACAACCTATTATCACCTGGGCCATGTCTTCTTTTCTTGAAATATTTTTGCTTATTTTTAGCTCATAATTTATCTAGCTGAGTCTATCCATATGGTTTTATAAGCCACATAACATGTATTGAAAATATTAACAACATAGATTCATTTGAAAATAATCTACAAGCTAACTTATTTTATTATATTTTGGGTTATTGAATTTGATCAGGTACATCAATATAGCCAAAGAGAAAGACCACCAAAAAAGCATTTCTCTAAATCTTCACCAAGGATATTTTGAACTGTGCCTCTGCGTGTGTGTGTTTGTGTGCGTGTGTGTGTGTTAGAGAGAGAAGCAGAGAGGATTTATGTGTACATGTATATATTTGCATATGTAAAAATTAAATGGTAGGTAATATACAGGAAGACTAATTCATATTAGCTACAGGACTTAAGCTTACAGGAAATATTGCATGTTAAAATCTCCATAAAATATAGTAGTTTATTGTAATAAGTAGTTTTCCCAAGTAGGTATTTCTTATTAGAATTAAGTTATTTTTT